CTTCGTCGACATCGTCGACACTCCGGCGTCACCATGACGTCGTCGTCATCCATCCCTCGAGGTTCCTTGGCCGCTCCTACGCCTCCACAGCTCCCGCTGGACGTCCTGAATCCGTTGAAGTGCTAAGTACTTCTTATCGGGCACATTACAAAGCGATCGATGGTGGAATCCGTCATCGTCCGGACGCAAGTCCTCAAATACAGTCCCGCTCACTCGATAACAATACCAGCATTCCCTCGCTCGGTATCTACACGCGTGATCTCTCGGTCCTTCGAGGCAATGTGTACACCATCCTCTTCTTCAAAATCATATTGTATCGAGTGTCGCCATCTCGTACGCGAGGACACGCGTCAGAGAAATGCATGCCTTCTTCCTCGCAAAACGCGCAGTTTCTCCACTGTGTGATGCCGGAGGATTGGTCGCGAAAGGAAATGCTCTGATAACATGCCCCATTCTTGCCAGAACTCCTTCCGATTTGTTACGCGACTCCAAGAATCCTCATTGCCAACGTCGGTTTTCGGATTTTTCGAGGGTGGTTCTTCCTCGTCAGCAACCTCTCTTACCATCCTTCGCCAGTGACTTTCATCATCATCCTCAAACTCGCCCTCTTGTTCAATTGGTACGGGGTTTGGAGATTTCTCTCTCTCCTCTGCTACCACCTCGGTCTTTCCTTCTTCTTCCATCGGAGAGTGCGGGTTCGTTCTCCGTAGTCCATTGGTCGCTTTGAGGCGGACTATTTCGTCATGCTGGGCCTCCACCTTCCTTTCTAACGCCTGTAACTCGGAACGCGTGCTGAGTTGACCTTTCAGTAACTCGATCTCTTTCTGAACTATTCTCTGAACCTGGAAACTAGTCAGTTGGTCTTTGCTGTGCCATTTCCTTTTCCTGTTGTTCCAGCATCGCCTTCATGTCGTTGATTTCCCTTTCTAGGGCGTCTGTCTGGTTATGAATCAACTCGAGAACTTTTTCTGGCTTTATATCGTACTCGCGCTTTTCTGCCAGCCAATCTAGTCGTTCAAAACAAGGAGAATCGCCCCAAGCTGTCATATACTCGTAAAGAATGTCCATTATGAGGAAACGCGTAGTCATGCGGAGGATCCTTTCTTTCGTTAGTTCCGCCTCACGAAGACAGTGTGTTGTCAGGCGCATTTGCTCTGCTGCCGAGGAGCAGAGGAAGGAATCTTCGCTTTTGTGATGATTCCACTGGTTGATAATTGTAGTGGCGATTTTTTTCTGACGATGTATCGAGACTACTGCCATCTCAGTTCATCCTGAATTTGATGGGGGTCCAATGAGCGTATTTTTGCCAAGATTTTCCAACAGGCCGATATTTCCATCTTCTTCCTTACTCGCGATTCTGAAATTGTGAGAAACGCGTTGTGTGATCTTTCCCTTTAAAGTGAGATTAACTGATTGTTTTTATTTGCGCAGCATTCGAAATCAATACCGCTTCGTGTGAATGCAACGCGACAGCTTTTTCCCCAGCCACCAAAGCATGCGAAAAAACACGCGAAAGCATTGTATACTCGAAAAAGCTGACGGATCATGAAACAAAAGCAACGCGCTCCAGCAGAGAAGAAAACTTAAGTGAGCTCCACCGCGATCAAAACCGCTATTATTGCTAAAAATATCGACTTGTTCCACTGCATGAAAACATCCAGTATATGGCTAAAATCGGGCTTCTGACACGGTGTTACTCGTTCCCTCAATCCAATAGTTTGCTATCGCGTGAGCCGTAAGTGTGAATTCCAGAATACCACTGAGCTCAAACTCCGTTAGCGTAGAACCACATGAAACTGGACACGTGATATGGATTCTTGCCTGGGAAAATATTGATCCTTTTGAGCATTCTGAATGTAGGTCGATTGCTGCCTTGTCATCACACATTGATCGTGAACTCGTGTTCTGCTATAAATGATTTTCGCGCCTTGCGTTGCTTTCGAAGAACGCTAACAGGTCAGCTTACGCTATTGATCCTTTTGAGCATTTATAACATCCCATCCCGGTCGATGCACCATAACGTGATTGTTCTGTAGCGCTGCGTCTGTCGTGGAACAGGCGAGACTGAACCGAACAACCGTTTATTTCCCATTCAATCTCCACTAGCTCATATATAAGTTATTTAAGGAATGAATTATCCTCCCCAGCAGCGCTGTTGAAACAGTTATAATTCATCCAATCAGCTGTTCCAGTACGACAAGCTACAGGACAATCATCTTTCTTCGTCGATATTATCGACAAAAGATCACCCCTTAGTACAGGACTGATGCAAAGCAGTTTTGCTGGATTTCATATAGGAACGGGATCGGCGAGACCCTGTCATCTACAATTTTCGAAACCCTGTGATGATTATCTCTGCGGAATACCTTCAGAGAGCACGACAGGCAACTTTTCGTCCGTCTCAACCACGAAACCGCCCTCTCAAGAACGGACACTTTGCTACCTTAACGACTGGCTAACCACTGTCTACTCATAGTCAGACACAGGCGCTAGGATACGCTCCTATGGTTGATCCTGATATCCTAAACATCCTACTATAATTGTAACTCAGCTTTTCATAGTGTTCTTGTAGCACACTGCATCTAGCATCTGGAGTACATTTGAACCGAATCGGTTTTCAGTTTGACCCACTGCAAGTTCTTGAGTATGCGGAGCGAAAAAGAAGTTGGCATCACTCAAGAGAGCATGAGATATTCATGATGCTCCTCTCAATCGAGTAGGTAATGCCCTCGTAAAAACAGCCATTGTTCACCGCCTGATTCACTGACTTTATCAAATGTAAATTACTGGACTATTCTCGAACCAATTCACGACTTTTCAGGCCATATTCACGATATTTCATACCAAATTTAAGATCTAGTTTCCCATAACTCACCAGACCCTATTCCAAACCCCTCCACCACAACCACGCCACATTTCAGCGTGGTCGTGAATTTTCAAATTCTATTTTGCAACCTCTGCTTTCCTGGATTTCCCGCACTTTTGTTATTTCGCATGCTAGAGTATCGCTCGTCACTCGGAACGAACTTTGCTTGGTATTTTGTTTCCTGTGACGAGCGAGGCCCTAGCATGCGGGCTGAGGACTATCCTGCCAACTCGCACCATTTTTCAAAAGTGGGCGGGCTTTCACGAAGGGGGCAGAGCTTTTTATAGTGGATGGGAATTCACGTAACGGTCTAAAAACGCCAAAATTTGAAAAAATGTCGAAAATTCGCAAAAAGCTGCAAAAGTGGGCGTGGCTAAGGGGCGGAGCCCAATGTGCCAGTGCACAAATGCGCGCCTACGAGTACCTTCGTTGTGTGAAGATGGGAGTAAAAAAAATTGCTGGAAAAAGTTATGAGGAAGTCGAAATTTGTCACAAGTTCTTTAGAAGGGCGCGGAGTTGCCCATGGTGCGAAATAACAAATGTGCAAAGTCGGAAGAGCAGAGGCTGTGGATTAAAATTTGAAAAATCACGACCACTACTGAAATATGGGCGTGGCTGTAGGGGCGCGGCATGCAATAGTGTGCAATATGTCTGCAATAGTGGGTAAGCAAGTCTTGAATTGGTTAGAAAAATCGTGAATTCGATTTGAAAAAAACGTGATTTGGTTGAAAAGTCGTGAATTTGAAGTGAAACTGGTATGCACACACTCCATATTTCTAA